GACCAATCATACAAAAAACTGCAAAATATTAGTGGTAACACAATATTCAATAAAGTTAAAAAGTACATAGGATTGTCAAAACAATTTACATTTTGAAACAAAAAAAAACCTTCCAAAACAACTTACATTTTAAAATGGAGGAAGTACTAGGTATTAAAATTAGTTAATTTGATCCCGAATAAAATCTTTTATTTAGATTCCGAAAAAACCTAACCAAACCAAATGAATTAAAAGTTAAAACTAAATGGGATCCATCCTAATTTTATAGAAATCGAAAAACTCAAAAACCAAATAACCCGAAGAGAACTGAATAACCGAATGCCCACCCCTACTTTTGGCCATCTTTTTGGGTTTGGAACATTCTAGTTTAATCAGTGTGTTTACCACGCTTACCTACTTGTACCACTTGAAGAACCTGAGAACAATTTTTTAAGAATTTTTTATCTATCAATTCAATCCTTTATAGAACATCACTTTTTCCAACCAAAAAAAAAAAGAAAAAATTAGTGTTATTAAATTGGTGTACACTAATATCGGACAGACTCAAATGGCTGTTTTGATTTGTCTGATCATCGGCTAAAATCTGAATGGTCAAGGAGGAAAGCAATGACGTATATAATTCTACTTAAAAGAATTAAAAAAGTTAAGGGTGGGTTTTGTAATTATAAAAGAATAGTGTTAATCATAGTAAAATTAAAAAAAAAAAGTACGGGGTTTATTGTGAAATTTTCCGTTAATATTTTTTTTTTTTTCCATCGAGAGAGGTTTCTTTTGGGAACTGGTAGATTTCAGACAAAACGACGTCTCGGAGATTGGAATTTCGGATCGTGTCTCTTTACTTCTTTGTTTCAATCCGATTTTTTTTTCCAACAAACCTTTTTTACTTACAAATACAACTCCTGCGCCAGATAAAAGATTTCCTTTTTTTTTTTCTTTTTTGTTCATTTCAGGTGAGTTTCTTCTTCTTCCTCAAAGCTAGTCTCTTTCTAGGGTTTTCTAAATTTCTGGGAAAGTTTTCTCCTTCTTTGCTTCACACAGTCATTAAAAGCTTACTACTTTCTAACCTAGTTGACTTTCAGAAGCTTATTGAGTTTCAGAACATTTTTTTTTTAGTGACCAAAATCAATCTAATTTTTCGATATTTGGATTTCCTTAATTTGTGTTTAAAAAAAAAAAAAAAATTCTGTTTGAAATTCGTAGCTGCAGCTTCATTTTTTCTTGGAATCGTGTAGTGTTTGTAATTTACTCAGATGTGAATACTAACTGAGTAGAAATTGAGTCAACTCAGATGTGAATAATACTGAGTAGATTTTGTTATAATTGAGGTTGCAAATCAGAGAGAATCAGCTACTGAAGCTACTTTAGTGTCACTAATTGAACTGGTTTTAATGACCCCATTACTTAACTCTCACTGATTTGGACTTTGATTCGTGGAGGAAATTAGTTTCTATGTGCAAGCTCCTTGTTTGATTTTCATCACTCTAACTCAATGAATTGCTTTAAAGGTTGTGTTATCGTATATCGGTATTTTCAGTTTGCTATTCAGAGGTGTTTTCTAGTTGCAGATTCACATTCAATAGTAGAATTTTCTGGCTTGTTTAACAGAAACAGAAGCAGCCACTTTACTAGAGAAAGTTATTCTTTGGTTTATATAGTCCATAACTGAAAACTATGTTGGTGAAACAGATGGTATGTATACTGTTTTTTATGTTCATACAGCACAGTCGATGACCAACGATTGTTTCCTGATCCATTTCTTATTGATTCTTCTTGTAAAGTGTCTTAGTCGTTTTTTCTCTATATATGCTCTCAATCAGCTAACTTGTTCTTTCTGTCCTTTTTTTTTTTATGTATCTTGGCAGTCTCTTCAACGTATAGTTAAAATCTGTGCACGCAAGAGAAAATCTTAATTAGTTGCTACTACAAGAGTTTCTGCTATCAAGTGTTAGTACAGAAAGGTGGTGAGAAAGTGGTATGGCTGATACCAGTCCAAGAACTGATTTCTCAACAGACGAAGACACAGATCATAGAGATCTTGGGGTTAGCTCATAATCTGGATATATTCTCTCACTTTTATTCTTCAAACGAGTGTAATTCAATGGAGTAGTAAAATTTTCTGGTGTTAAATTTATGCAGTCCGAGGGAGCACTAGTGAATACTGCTGCTTCTGATTCTAGTGACCGATCGAAGGACAAGTTGGATCAAAAGGTAATATTTCCACCTTTGTAGATAAAATCATTATTTTTATTGAGCCAATGCATAATCTTTTTTATGGTTTCCTTTTATTTTGATCCGTAGACTCTTCGTAGGCTTGCTCAGAACCGTGAGGCAGCAAGGAAAAGCAGATTGAGGAAGAAGGTAATACATTCCATTGG